GTCAATCACTGTGATTGCATCAGTGTTTTTGAAAAGGTCTGGCTCACTGTCTTCCAGAATACACACTGCATGTTGATGAACTGTAATTGTGATTTGCTAGTCTACAGCGGAGCAGCTGGCTGAGGATCCTTCTAGAGCAAAGCCATGCTAGCAGCTCACATGTTTACTTTCAGTGCGGCTCATATAGAGAGCTAAATCTAACTTTAGCTCCGCATGTCAGAGGTGGCAATAAGCATCTTACTATTGTGACTGGCATGCCCCTCCCAGACGCCCAAAATATATGTCTGGAAGGTAGAGCTCAGCCGGAGAAAAAGGGAAGTCATGACTTTTGTTTTCAAATGGATCTCTGTAGCTGTTCAAATCTGCTGGGGTATTTTTACATTACAAATTTCACAAATGGAGTAAATTTAGAGCCCCTCGCAGGCTATATTCTACAGCCATATTGTCATGCACCGAATAGTCTCGATTGCAGGAGATAACACTCCCCTCTCTCGCCTCCTATTTTTCATTTGGCACAGTAGCAGCACGCCATCTTATCAGCTGATCCTGAGCCAGGAGCAAGGAGTAGTTGCTCAGCAGAAAAAGGAGGGATTGTGCTGGGCTCGGCTATAATATGAGAAAAAGCCCAAATGCTCTTGGATCAGTCCCATGCTTTGTCCTCATCTCTCACGTCGCCTCTTTCCCTTGTTCATTTTTCATCCTCTTTCCTTTCATCTTTTTCGTCCTGCGCCCCCTCTCCTTCCTCTGCATTCTGCTCTCTCCCTCCCTCCCTCCCTCTGCTCCACTTATAAGATTTGGCAGCACTCCAAGATCTGAGAAAAACATTGGAGGCATAGCCTCGTTTTGATGTCTGGAAAGAGAGGGAGGCTGAGAGTGAGAGAGAGCGAGAGAGTCCTCATTTCCATTTCACAGACTTGACTCACAGCAACACCACAGCAGAAAGAAGGAATACAGGAATATCGAGAGTGTGAGCGTAACCACCAGTCAGAGAGAAATGGGAGGATGAAGAGAAAAAAAGAGAGACATAGATCTTAGATCGCAAGAAAAAAATGAAAAAATTAGGTTCACAAAGTATGACGGTGTGTGTAAAGAAATGCAGAGGCAAAGTGAAAATATCTTAAAAGAATATAAAATATGCATTCTGTTTGTGTGACCTCTAAAAGACTGATACACAGAAAGTAGCTGAACTGCTTTACAAAAAAAGACTGAAACTCACTGAACTCACAGAAAAAACACCAAACAATTCGCCTTCTGCAGCACTTGGGTCTCATACCAGTCTGAGAGAACACAGATTTGGCACTCGGCATTGTAATCATCTTAACTTTGCAGGCCTTCATGGTAAACAGGCCAGTCAGATGTAAAAACCCCCCTCTGTAGACCAAGCCAAGAATCAGAAGGGAAATTTTACACATCCTGCGGATTCAGTCGTGCTCCTCCTAATTGCTGGTTGGAGCTCCAGCTTCTCCCCCGGTGCTGAGAAGAGAAACCGTCATTACTAGTCTCGCAGGAGCCCGAGCCCAACTCCAAAGGGAAACTTTGATTGATGAAAAGAAAAAAAGGCAGATCCGAGCGTGTCCTCGATACAACATTTGCTGTGACCTTGTTTTCCCTGACAGGTCTAAAATTAACCAAGCGGATCAGTTATACTGGGAGCGGAGAAATGTGGACCAGATTCTCCTTTTGGCGCGTCCCTGTCTCTGCTCGCTTTCAGGGGATTACAGCAGCACGAGCATGCCTTTTGATTTATTGTGCTAAACATAGATTCATTAGTGAAACAGCTGGCTACATGGAGTACTTCACTGTCTCCCACGCAGGCCTTCCCTCCCTCCACCCACCCACTGGACCATATTTAACATTTTAATGTAAAAATAAATGCCTAAGGATTAGAATTTATAGTGATCTTCAGCATAGATGTTGTCAGCATTAGTGTTATCTGTTCTTTCTAAATGTAAATGTATAGACTACTGGAGTATTCCCTCATATTATCAATATTAGGGCAGCGTAACTGAACCAGAACAAATAAAACACATGCTTATCTGATCAGGAAAGTGCAAGAGAAAACGCAGCACATGCTCCAAAGACAACAAATATGAACTCTGACCAACCCAGTTACAGCTTTACTATCACGCCAGCATCTTTGTGTAACACTGCATACCAGCCTACAGTTTAGTTAACCATTAAAAGGAGAGGCGGGGAGGCAGCAGACTATCTGTTATGGCCTTTCACTTAGCTTGATTAACAAGACCGTGTCAAGTAAATCAATCAAACAGCCAATGAGGGATTTTATGACCATTGATTAAGCTATGCGTCACAGCAGCCTGATAAAGAACGTCTGGGTTGCAGAGATGTTTCACAGCTGGAGCATCTACTCTACTGCAGACTACATGCACTGTAAGGCAAACTGTACTGTTGCCTAAGACAAAAGCTACTATCATAAAGCAGCGGAATGAGGAGGAATCAACATTAATCTTTGCCCGAGGTGATATCAGTTTCACCTGGACCCCACCTGGCTCAGCTTCAGACGGCACGTCTTACTAGGCTTTCCATAAAAAAAAGCTTCCAGGATAAGAGCACATCAAAGTCAAACAATGTTTGTCTCATAAGCAGGAGCTTAAACATTAAAAATCCCTGAAGGGTTCTCATAAGTAAACAAAATGAAAGCCTGTGAGTCATTAACCACAAATGGCTCTTGCGTGATTATACTGAAAACAGAGGAGATGTTTCACTGGAGTAGTAGTAGTATAAACAAAAAAAAATATATAATCATAAAAATTAAAGCTGCACTTAATGCCATCAACTCTGCGTGACCTTGTCTTTGCATGCTGGTTGTTTACTGAAATCCCTCCATAATGTTTCCCTCCTGCATATGAACCGACAGGCTGCACTGGAGCATCTGCCGAGAACCGATTTCACTGGTAACTATGCAACACCAGAGCACTGTGTTATGACAGAGCCACTTCCAGGGACACATTATCACTGTATTAGATACGCCACATGCTATTTTAGTCAGCACTGAACAAACAGGTATTGTGATAAATCTTTACGTGACAATAAAATGTTCTTTTGTTTCTCGTTGTGTCATACTTCATGCCAGTTGATAGGTTGGCTTTGTTTGTCGTATTCCCAGATGAGGCAATTTCAATTTGGCTCCCAGCTCACTGTCATAAGGAACAAGTAGGTCAAAGTGCCGACTAATAAAGGGAATAAAAACGAGAAGTTGCAATATGGAGTGGGTGTGTTGTTGGTGAGCACAGCAAAGCGTTGCCCTTTATCAAACTGTACTGCGTTTAAAGTCCAACCGATAAGATAACTTTCCAAAGAACGGAAAAGGAATATAAACAAACAGCTGTTTTCGAAATGCGTGCCCATGAAACACAGGTTTCTATCGGTCAAAAGCTGCTCAGCCCTCAGATCACATAGTAAAAAGCTGTTATTTGCTATAAATGTTTTGCTGAGAGTTCATTTTTGTCCTTTTTAGTGCTCTCTCAATTAGGGGACGATAATTATCCGTGCCCTTCTTAGTTAGTTGGCTAAACACTGGGGTGCAAAGGCTATGTTTTCATTCAACAATATGAATCAATCAGTTAATCAGGACACCATGCAGCCTATTAAAGAGTGGGTAATCCCTGTTAAGACGGCGAGGTGCCTACCAAAATACATTTAGAACACGTCTGTCAGTGCAGTGAGGTCAATAAATCCCCAGTTGATGAACAGATTCACCAAGTGAACTAAAGCACAAGAAAGCAACATTGGAGCCGTCTGTTGGCATTTAATTACCAAAATAAAAACAATCTGCTGCTTTGGGTGCTGCACTGACAGCTCAATAAAACATGAGCAGGAAGCAGATTATGTCTCAAATAATTACGCAACTGCCTACTACACCAAGTCTCCCTCTCTGCTAGATATTCATCTCCATGTCAGTGTCCGCTTGGTGCAGCGTCAGCTACATGGGAGTGACATTTCTTTGTCTGAGGGAGCAAAAGCTGTCTCAAAGCTTGCTTCTCTTTCTGCAGACACAGAAACTGCAGTTTGTCACATAACGACCCCATAAGCCGCTCGTTGCTTTGTACAGAGGTGTCTGGCTGCCTATTTGCCATGACGGAGACAGAATTGCTGTTTTTTTTATGGCTGTGCTGCTATCAATCTGCAACAATTACATTTGCATCTGAAGAGATACAGACCGAGGTTGGTATGTGAGGCAGCAGGCAACAGGGCTATTTGTTTACTCTGAAAGAGCACACATTGCATACTGAGGCAGAAATCTGTTCTAAAGCATGTGGAAGAATGTAGTAGTATCAGTGGCAGTGTCTATTAGTTTGGCACAATGTAGCACACACAATGCTAAAAGAAATTAAAGTAAAAGGGGCTGTTGCTGCACCTAACTCATGCTTGGAGGTATTTTTTTATTCATAATTTGTGATTTATCAACTGCTTAGTGAATCAAAAGTATTGGTTGGTTGAGAATAACAGGTTTGTCTGCAATAAAAAACCTTTATAAAGGTTATAAGACACCCTTTGGAAACACGTTGCGCCAGTAGAGAAGCTAAGAGTGTTATTGAGAGGAGGTTAATTTCAACAAAAGTCCTAAATTATGGTTACACAACGTGCTTAGACTAGGATATCATGTTGACAATCATGCACTTTCTCACATTACTGACTCAACAGATTCCAGCTGACTGAACATGACTTGGCACCTATTTCTATACGCTGCAATCAGTTACAGTGATGCACAAACTGGAGCAAATTTGGGACAATGTGTCTGTGTTTTTTTTCTCTCTCCTCCATGAATCACGAAAAAAACAAAAATAAAGAAGGCATGTGTGCAGAAAAGCTGCCGTCCTGCAGCGTGAAACAGTAGCCTACTTATGTTGTGCAGCGTAAATCAAGTCTCCTGAGCCGTCACAACAAGCCTGCGTATCAGAGCACAGAGCCCTATCTCATCATCTGTCCACAGTCCCGTGTAACTTAATCACTCAAATGAAGCAAGCTCAGACAATAAGTTCATACAAGATCAGAAATTGTATTTGGCAATTTTTAAACAAGTGCATACAAGTACAGCTAAAAGCATTTCAGTTTTGCCAAGTGCTCGTAGAGTAGCATTAGTCACATTCTACGTTAAACAGGAACTGCCACCAGACCTAGAAGTACATCAAGAATTTTGTTAAACATCAACAAAGAGGAACGTAGTCCATTATAATGAGTACATACCTTTATCTTCAAAAATATAGAAACACAATGTATTCAAAAATCAAAAATTATACAACCATGTTTACGAAGTATACTCTTCCCTTGGGTCCAATATGTACAAGTCCGTTAGTTTGTTTGAATGGTATGTATGTGATATTTATATATTTATACTCATATTTTTGCTTCCCCTTCCCCAAAGAAGTGTTCAAAACAAAATCAAGGGTCCCTCTCCTTTTTTACTTTGACATCTCCTGCAAGGATGGTGGCGATTTCTCCTTGCATGAAAGCCCATGGTACGTTCGAGCCAACCAGGGGACATTTCTCTCCACTGGGACAGTACACTTCACCCGTGGCACCTTGCTGCTTTATGCTGTCCCTCGAGCACGGGAAGCAGAACTTGTGAGAGGGCACAGACGGGCACTGAACAAAGTGTGTGTCCTCCAAACGCTCGTGGCACAGCGTGCAGCACAGGGGTATGCTGCCGGGTACAGAGGAGTCCGGAATGCTTTGGGGGTGCACTTGGTCAATGCCTGGCACGTGGGGGGTACCTGCGCCAGACACATCTCTCGGCCCCACCCTCCTCTGATTCATGGAGGACGGGGACAGGGGGCTGCTGCTGTTCCTGCGGGTGGTGGAGTGGACTTGGTTGGTGTCCTTAGGAGAGCTGTTCCCACCTGCATTGTCTGCCGCCATGATGAGTGCAGCCATGGGGGACTGGCCGTTCTGGGTAGCCTCAGGTGGAGTGGTGCGGGAGGGTGGAGAGGCGAAACTTGGCGGGGGAGCTGGAGGCATTTTCAGTCCGTCATTGGGTGGTGGTAACCACTGCTGTCCTTCTCCATTGAGCTTGGCAGCTGTCCCCTCTCCCTCTGGTTCAGGTGATGCTTTTCTCTTCATGTTCCGGGGGTGTTTTCCTCTGTCTGGAGGTGGGAAAGGGTTAAACAAGAGTTGAGTTGCAGAGCTCAGACAAGGATCAACAATTACACTGGAATGGAGACATGCACTTTTTTTTTTTTTTGCTGTTCCACGCTGCACCACAGGGCAAACAAACAATAACAACAAACACAGCCAATACTAATAAGTACAAATAATAATTTACAGAAGGTGATTTTTTTTTGCACACATGCTGCTGTATTTATCATTTCCTCATTATTAACCCTTTCCTGTCTGGGAATGGGTCATAAAATGTGCAACAAAATGAACAAAACACTCTTGAATTTGAATTTAAACCCTCCTCTACTGGATGCTTACCTGACTTGGAAGCCGTGGCGATGGTATCGTAGTTCATACCCCTTGGTGGCATGGCCCCATGGTCCTTCTTGAACCTGTCGAAAGTTTGCAGAACCAGCATGTCCCTCCCGGCTTTGGACTTGTTCATCCACTCCGCGTCTGCCCTGTTTTTGTGGCTCTCGGAGATCTCCGGCGTGAGACTGTCCGGTCTGTGCTTCTCCTTCACCTCTCTGTCGTGCTCGGTGCTGGAGACCGAGGCGGGTCTCTTGCCCAGGTCGGCGGGGCTACCGCCGGCCAGTGCGGAGGGAAGCCCCATCTGTCCCGGTCTGCCGTTGACGGCGTGCACCTGGGCCATGTTCCCGTTAACCAAAGGCACTAGATTCGGGGGGACCGTGCTATTCCTGCGCGGGTTGGGGCTCTGGCGGTTCAGCTCCGGCGGCTCGTCAGGCTTAGGAAATCCATTGGGGACGGGGATGCCGTTCACCTGCCTGCCAGACTGATACTCTGGACCCAGCCTGGGCGGGCGGTCGGAGGAGAGCGGGTAGCGGTCCAGCGGCTGCGGCGGCCGGGACGGAATCCAGCGGCTGCGGGCGGGCCGGAGCCCCGGTCTCCCGCTCGCAGCGGTGGGTTTGATCGCCTGGATCTCCTTCCCCGGGGAGCTGCGACCTCACCGGGGCCGGGGGAGACCTGCCTCTCCTGAAACCCGTGCGCTCCTCTTGAGCTGCCGGGCCGTTTCGATGACAACTCAATGCGGTCCTGGCTCCTTCAGTAGGTCTGACACATCCCCTGCCAGACGCGCTCCGGGTTAAATTCCCAGCATCATGGCCCACGGCATGCGGGGCAAGTCGCATAAATAACACGACTGCCTCCTGGAAGAAGCAGCGACCGCCGCGGACGACATATCGCTCGTCGTCTTCCCCCTCCAGAAAAAAGAAAACCCAAAAAACAAAATGTGCCTTCTTTTCTCCCTTCGCCTTTTTGTCCCTTCCGAAGCTCCTTTTTCTTTTTTTCCCCCTTTTTTGGTAATTATAAATTATAAAATGGTATTAAAAAACCCCCCCCAAAAAAAAAAAAAAAAAAGACCCAAACCAAAAAGATAAGGTTTTCCCCCTCGGGGGATGCGAAGGCAAAAAAAAACAACAATATATATATCAACTCTTTTAACAGAGCAGCAAAAACGTTGAAGTTTTTAGAGGGAGAAGTTCATGTCGGTGTGTACTTTACTACGGCGCTCCTCTATCTATCTCCACTGACTCTCTACTACTGGCTCAATGTGGACCAGTGACGTCACCACGGACCTCTAAACGCTTGCTTCCACTTCAGTTTCTATTGACTTGATTTCTTCGACAGACCCCCTCCTCCTCCTCCTCCTCCTCACCTCCTCCCCTCCATCACCACCACCACCACCTTCTTCTTCCTCCTCCTCCTCCCTCGGTTTACTGCAGCCTCTGTCACTCACTCCTTTTTTTTTTATATATATATATATTTTAATTTAATCACTTGAACCTCTGCCAAAAAAAAAAAAAAAAACTGCACCCAGTTCAGCTTCACCGCCTCCTGACTGACTGAAAGGGAATAACCCACTGCTCCTATTATTATTATTATTATTATTATTATTATCAAACCTGCAGAAGAAACATGGCTCCGACGATACCAGCCTGCCTGCACCGATATTCTTCTTTTTTTTTTAAAGGTGGTGTGGCTGTATGTTAGCAGCAGACCGCCAGGCGATAATAAAAAGAGAGAAAGAGAGGGGGAGAGAGAGAGTCGCCTGCTCCTCCGGTTGACTGCTGCTTTGTCCTAAATTCAGAGCATTATCCGGTTCAGGCTGAAAAACGCTCGCTGCAGCTTGTTTTTCTCAATGCACAGCGCCTCGACGCCATGAGCTGCTACTACTACTGCTGTGCAATGAATGAGGTGGGTCGAGACTTGAAAAACAAACTAGTTCTACTATTTATTTTTAAATTAAACAATAGAAAGAATACACAGAACATCTTGTTGTGCAGCAGTTATAAAGCTAAATATAATTTATAGGGAATAGTTTAGGGTTTTTCTCTCTCTACAGCTCAGCATGAATTAACAAGCACTGACTGGGGTTTTTTTTTTTTTTTAGATACTATTTTCCTGCCCGTGTTGATAGAAAAAGAAAGAGAAAAAAGGCGCCTCCATTAGCCAGTAACCAGGAAGCTCTGTCATGAGGTGGGGATTTCCAGCCAGTGTGTTGTAAACTTGAATGGATCGGGGGTTACAGCATGAATATAGCTCAGCCCACATTTTATTCTAGTGCACAGAACAGTCAGTCATCCAGACCTGCCACCACTAAATGAAATTACACTGGAGTGAATCAGCCATTCAGACTTTTTTTTAAAGTTAACCATCAAGCTGAAAAGATAAAGGAAGTATTTGTACCACAAGATTAATGACACACTATCCTGCTCAATGTTTAACATATGATGTGTAGGAAAACAAATTACTTTAAAACTAAGTCATACGCCAAAAACCCAGCCAAAGAAAAAATCCCCCTGAAGTAAAAAGTATGTAGGTTTTGAACTAGAGTAAATGTCCCAGTAGTTCAGATTCCTCCCTCGCACACTCATCTGGGCTCATTCCAACTCGTTGCAGCTTAGCCTCGGGGCTTTGGGGTGAGGCAATGCGTCTGTAACCTGCAGACACAAAGCAGGATATGTTTGTGCAAGTCCATGTGACGTTTGGAAAGAGGAAGCAAGATGTTTAGTCACGTACCCTCATCCGCCTCACCCATCTACGGGGACATCAGGCCACTTGGCTGCCCGCCTGCGGCCGTGATCACGCACTGTGGCATGAGGCGTCTCTTCAAAGGGCTTCCATAGACTAAATAAGGCAAGTTGATGTGTTGCCACCAATCACATATAATTGTAGTGCAGTTGCTGTATGATTTTTTAAAAATGTTTCTCTGCAACATGTGAATGAGCACACCTAACATTGCAACACAATAATATTCCCTTTAGGACACTCGCTGCCGTTTCCCTTCTCTGCTTTCACTCAGATCTCGGCCCATGTTGGGTGAACAACACTAGGAAGTGTTGTTAGGCTTTTATGACACAGTTAGGAAATGACTGTTGTTTTTGAGTGGCAAAAATAAACAAATTCTTTTCCATAAGATTGGTGGGAAACAGTTGCCTAATGCTTTGATCCTTTTACTTTCCACTCAGTCGATGTTTGTGCAAGCAAATAGCTACACACTGTTATGCAAGACGGAGGCATGCTGAGATTCAATTAAATCCTAAATGACCCCGAATCTATTATAGGAAGATCCATTGATTAAAAAAAAACTGTGGCTGCAGAGAGGGGGGAGGCAGAATTGTACAGAGGCGACAAAAAAAAGGTCTGAGAGGAAAAGCCAGACATGCACAGATGGCTCTGATTGGCAGTATGAACCATGTATACAGTAAAATCACCACAGTGTGACCTGGATGACAGCCGTCTCATTTGTGTATGGCCACTAAAAACCCAGATGGAGTAAGTGTATAACGTCTTGTACTTTTTTTTTTTTTAAAGTGGTATGTAAATTGAGACATGAAGCAGCTAAATAAAGAGTGAGAGGTAGGTGACGGCCAGGGGAATACCCAGCATGTGACAGCATCGCAGGCCCCGACAAGATGACGTTATTTTTGTTCTATCGCTTTTCCTGAGCCTGTTAAATTTTATATTGGCCATCTTTTATTCATGGAAGCGAATCATTACAAATTCTCTCTGAAGTTTTTCTGCCTAAGCAAGAGCACACACACACACACACACAGCTCACTGGATGTTTTCTCACTGTTTTTCTCTCCTCCATGAGAACAACATTCGTGTTATATAACCTTTTTTCAGCACAACTGCTGAGGTGAGCGTTCAACTAAACTGTAACATGTTGCGCAGACATAAAAGGAGGTTATAACAGGACACTGAGAGGACATATTACTGAAGCTACGCAGCTGTTGTGTGTGCGACCTGCCTTGTAGATTAATGGCTGCACGGAGTGGCAGAGGTTGGAAAATGTCAGGAGAGTGAATGTAAAGACTAACGTGCTGCACAGAGTTCCTGTGTCTGTAGCAGGGAGAGGTAACCATGGAGATTATCACAGTACCCCAACTACCATATATATCCTGTTTACGGTGCTATTTTTAGCCACGGATTTGCACAGCCGGTATTAGACCATAGATAAAATTTAGGGAGCCTTAAAAGATAATGTCAAAGCATCTCTCTGTCGTATTAGCTGCTTTCTGTTTTGTTTTTTTTACATTTTTTATTGATTCTCCGAACGGCTTCTCTCCTGGTTGTAGAGGAATCATGTGCAGCATATGCACGGGAACACACACAAAAACAAAACCAGGCATTCCTTAAGGAAGTCTGTTTTGATATAGGTATAAAATGGTGGAATTCAAATAAAATGGAGGGTCGACGGCGAAAGGGAAAAATGTGCTGGGCGGCTGGAATCTGGGGGCTGGAGGCTGCAGAGGTGATGTCATTGGGCCAGAGCAAGAGGCGAGTGAAAAACAAGTCTCTCTCTTTATTCTGATCCTCTTTGCAGTTGCAGTGGGGGTGGGGGTGGGGGTGGGGAGAGCTGGCGGTCGGCCAAGGCAAGGGCTGCTGGGAAATGGCAAAGGATGCCAAGCAGGCCCCACCGCCAACATTAGAAGCTCACATCTTTGTTCTCAGAAACCTGGTGTGCTGCCAAAGGCCTCATTTCGGCTCCATGGCATGATTACACTGGATGTAGGCCAACTACTGAGAGCTTGCTCCCTCCCTCCCTCTCTCTCGCTCGCTCTCCCTTTATGCTCCCTCCCTAGGCTCTCTCTCTCTCTTTTTCCACTGCCTTCAAAAGCTTTCTGCCAAACATGCAGCAGTTGCCATGGCTGCAGAGAATGGAACATAAAAAAGTGAGTAATGAGTCAGGCTTGGACCCAGATGTGCCACATGTGTAACCATTTAGAAAAAAAACAAGATGGTAACATATCCCCTTAATCTGCCGGGCTTGTCAGGGGACAGACGAGTCAGTAAATAGCAAAAAGGGCCTGGGAGGGGAAAGTGGAGGAAACAATCCCCACAGAAAAATGTAAATGAGCGTTGTTTTCACATCCATTTTTAAAAACAGAAGGTAGTTTCAGTAGGCGGAAGTGTAGGTTTAATTTTGGCAACCAGGAACAGAAAGACCTCAACTCTGCTTCTGTAATGCTGCGCTTAAGCAAGCATGCATGCATTGTGAGCTGACGACATCATTTCCTGTCCACTGGAAACCCCCCCCCCAGACATTTTCAGTCACAACTAGACATTGATGTAAACAAACTTTCCCTGGCCTCTTGTAGCAGAATCAGCATAGTTTCACATAGCTTGAACTCACGCAGCTTAGGTGGTCCAGTTAATAAGCTGCTATCAGAATGAGTAACATTACCTGCACATATAAATGGCTTTTTACTTATTGCCCTTAAAAGGCTGCTTCACGCCTGACTCATAGTTGTTATGTTTAGCATGCTGTACTGAGGCCGTGCAGTCATTCCAGCTTTGTGACCAACTCAGCCAAAATTTTCAAAATGTCATTCTGCTGCATTCACACACACATATATTTATAATTCCCTGAAGGACAGTATCGTCCACAGCCACTCCTACAGAAACACTGCATTAGTTTCTGTACAGCTGGTTTGTTCTTACACCTCGACTGATCCTCAAACAAATTCCAGAGAGATTGACACATCCGGCTTCATTACAAGGATCTTTGTAGTGCGTACAGTAGTATGAATATGTATGTGCAGCAGGCGTGTGAAGCTGTGTGTGTGTTTATATGTGTTACAGGAACGTTTATATTTGGACACATAGCAACTTATCTTGACAAAGGTTAGGTTTTTTTTTCTTTTTTTCTGGTTGAGCCAAAAGGAAAGAAGGAGTATTTCATGTGTTATGTAACCTCCTCCTCTGAGCCAAAATAAAACTTTCCCAAAGTAGGCTTATTTATTACCGGAGCTCCTGTCTATTTCTGAGCAGCCTCGCTAGAAAATGGACTCTGACATCCCCGGCGCAGCACA